AAAAAATAAAAAGTTTTTACGCGATATTGATCCATCTTCTCTTACTATGACAATCTTAATACGACTTTTTATCAAGTATACTAGCGCCACCACATTACGTACTTCGAATAAATGTGCTGTAAGTACTGTATACTATACATCGTTGGATTATTCTCTAACTTCGCTAATGTAATCTTGAAACTTCCTTCTTACTATACATATCATATCCTTTCAAACACTTTTTCTTAATGGATATATTTCCTCCAATAAACTTAAGACAGTTTTCCATTAAGTACACTAGCGCCACGATGGTAGGCATTTATAATAAATGTACTGCAAACGCTATATATATCTATTAATTATTCTCTAACTTCTCTGATATAATCTTGAAACTTTCTTCTTACTACTCACACCACATCCTTTTAAACACTTCTGCTTCACGTTTATATTTTCTTCATTAAACTTCAAACAATTTTCTATCGAGCACACTAGCGCCACCATGGTACATATTTATAATAAACTTCCCACTGTTCTGTACTAACTGTACTGACGTAAACTTTATCCTCCTATTTGATTACATATACCGCATCGTTTAATATTTAATATTGTAGGATGGCGAAAATTTATTTTGAGACACCAAAAATTGACAAAACAACAAGAACAGAATAACGCAAACCCAAAACTCAAACTAATTTAACTTAGGAAAAGAACACCAAGATAACGAAACGAAAACGCATAAAGACGCACTCTAATTTAACTCTCTTTCCAATACCAAGCGACTCACGCTCGTGCTGGTCACAATTGATTTCTAAGGACTCTGTTTTGCTCGTCAAGGACCATGCTTTTATGCTTTTCTTAACGCTTTCGCTACGGCGAGCGTCGTCGCGAAGTCTCTTCCGTAGAACACAGTGCGGTGTCAAAGATGGCAACATTACGATCATGCAGTCTTTAGCATTCGTTCTTTTGACGCAAATCTTTTGAAGAAGAAAGGAAAAGGAAAAACTGACCATCGCAATAGAGCTTGCAATTCTTTGCGAAGAGAGCTAAGAGGAACGGTAGCACTCGTCTTAATTTTTTACTCAATTTTTGTGATCGGTGACTATAGTCACCCATCGTGTGTAGATGACGTCTCGTGGCCGGTGACTATAGTCACTCGTAGTAGCGAAAGGGTTAACCTACGCTTCACCTCCCCGTAGGTACCACGGAACTTAATTTTCTTACCCAAAATAACTTTTTCATTTACTTCTAGAAAATATTGATCGGTTTATGATGTATTTTTGTTGATAATGACCGATTCGTGATTTCTTTCTGAAATGGTATCATACAGTATTTAGTACTGTACCTAATAATGTACCTAATCCCATATTTTTCTATAATTTAATCATATTTATTTCCATCTCACAACTTCAATTATTCTTATTTATATTCAACTTGTGAGTAAATGGATAAGCTAACAAGAAAATTTATTTAACACAATAACAGCACAACATAAATTATAACTAAATCTCGTTGAATAAATTCTCTTCTATGTCGTTACAACGTCTATATGTAATGACTGTCATTCAGCTACTGATTGTTTTTTCGCAACTCTCTGTCATACTCGTCACACACACATTCTTCCACACAAACATTCCTCACACGCCTACCACACATTCTATGACAACCACTACCACGGTAATATATATTTTGGATTTAAGCAATTCAAGTAGTTACTTATTTTCTATTTTCTTCTTTAGTAAATAAAGAATCAGGAAAACGTCGAGTGTAACTCAACATGTGCAAAGGGTTAATATTGGATGCGTAAAATATCTATATGTTTTTGGTTATCAGGTTGGTTAATAAATAGTAACGAACCGTTGAAGTAAATAGTTCTTTGGGACAAAATAGTGTGATTAATAATTAATTAACGTGTGTTCGATAATTAGTTAATAATTAATTAAACGATATTAAATCCAAATCAATTATATACACATCTGCATTCACCTAATCCCACCTGACAAATTTCTGATTTTTAGAAAAATCACTCGTACACTCAAAAGAATTATGCAACGTAACCCACACGTACTAAATATTATTCTAATAAAAAGAACAATCAACTTTGGGAATTTTAAACGACGATATCTAAGAACTAAAAATATGCTACATACGACGTTCTTTCCATAGAATCACAATAATTACTTCATAAGATAATCTCATGACAGCGTACCATAGTCATGGACTCACTTACTCGTGTGACAGCAATGAACATCAGCCAGTGCCACCGTCTTCAAACACTGTCTGCGGATCAGTGGCAATTCGGACAAGGGTGCTCTCGAAGCGATCGGCACTCTTCGCTGTACCAACGGTGGCAGTGGTGGGGGAAGCGGAACGAGCCCGGTAGAGGGAGCGCGAGCGGTAGAGGTTAGGTTCGACGAAACATGGAGAGGTGGAGGTATGGAGTCGAAGGGTCCAACCGGAATCGCAACACGGTTTGTCCGTTGAGATGTTAGCTTTTCGTCAAAGGCCTGCTATTAGTATGCGGTTAGTATTACAGAACGGTGTATCAGGATACATGGATGCCTCCTCGCTATCTATTACCGATTCTCTGGCATGTGAACTGTCGACCTCACGATGCTCTCCATCTTCCCTTTCCTTTGGAGCCTTCCCGTGCCCTCTGCGGGACTGTGTTTCCACGGTGTATCGCTTTGTCGAGGCGATCGATAGAACGGGGACCGTTTCGTCGATCAGACCAATAAGACGATTAGTCTTGCTGTACACGATCCTTGGCGCTAGCCGGAAATCATTGTGCGCGCATTCCACCGTGATCTACCGTTCGAGATCACCGAGACCCCTTTACTCTGCCGAGTACTTGGAATACTTGGACAAATACCGTGGCTTAAGAGGACAAGACGGCTAGCTACACCAACAGCGCACCGTTCGCTGCTACTCAAGGGCGCCATCTGCTGGATCGTCGGCGGATATTTTATGCCACGTACTCGCCTGTGGATGGGTTCCGGTGTTTTATTAAATAATTAATGGTGCCTCTTGTCATTGAAACGTTCGAAATGGAGATGTACAGGTTGGAACTTCGCAGGTGCGAGTCTTAAGTCTGGTATTCCGAGTATCGTAGTCACGTGCGTCCGTGATGTTGGAATTTATGACAGCGCGTAAGGGAGAGAAGCGTGTTACGTTTAGGGGAAATTGTGTCTAATAGATAACGTTCTTTGATATTAATTTTATCACGATCATGGTGGTACTTCTAGGTATCCAAAAATAATATTTTGTTAACTGTATAAAGATAATATTTCCTAGATGTAAAATAATATTTTTCTGAGAGTTTAGTTAATCTTTTGGAAGATCAAATGGCATAAATTTATCAAAAGCAGCCGCGTATTTCTAGTGAAATGCGGAAATAAAATATTCCAAACCTGGTATTGAAAAACAAAATTAATTTGATAGTAGAGAAGCTATCGGCTACCTCCTTGTAGTGAAATAGCTTCCGAGCTTTCCAATTCTAATGAAATATGCTCTACCTTCTATAGATTCAATATCTCTCAACATCCTTTCAAATATTTTTCAATATTCTGTATACCGAGTGACCCAAAATTGATGGTACAAAAAGGGTCAATGAGATTTTATGGCTCCGAATAAGGCTCACTGACTCTATTCGTACCACCAATTTTGAGCTACCCTGTATATTTACGTATTTTCCATTTCAGTATCTATTTGCACCACTAATTTCGTTCTTTTGTGTGTTTTAATTTATTCGAACGTTGAGACTAATAGTTAATATCGAAAATATAAAATCATAGATCTGACTGTGAACAATGGCTGTCATTGTATTCTATCTAGAAATAATCATGGCAGCCTTCTGTGATGAAATCGATGTCATCACTTAGGTGTACGCATTTTCGACTGACTTTCTGATGCATTTTTCTCAAAAATGGAACCCTCGATGCAATCTTGTCAATTTTCATTTGCATCCTATCTTGAGTCACAGAATCTCTCAGATCCTATCAATCTTACTGTTCCGTCCCGGAGAGCGTGTTTATAACATGATTTTCATTCTAAGACTTAAACTTTTAACAGACCTAACGGTTTACAATATATTTTATATCGCGACTGCAATTTCGGAGGATAGATGTGCCTCACCGCCGTTCTAGCGGATCAAATTGTAAAGGTAAAGGCGAAAGTTTAGGAATTTTTACAAGTACCAGACTCGACAGATGGGACCCACGTGTGACAGACCCAACAAGCGACGGACGGACACCACTTATAAATCACGTCATTGACTATCAAAAATCGGCTCCTTGACAGTTTCCTACTCCTTAGCCAAAGGTCCTTCCGTCACACCCTCTGTCCAATTAAAACTCCTTACTTTTCCACCACCAACGTTTATTTTGCCCAATCGGAACTAAACTGGAGAAAACACCGGACAGGACACGACGAGACACGACATAGATCAAATTCGAGAAATCAGTTCGTCTTCGACACCGATCCTTGAAACATCTTACTTACTCGTATAAACGCGTGTTCGAAACGGTACTCCGTTCATCGTCTCCATTATAACTATTCTATACTTTTCTATAAATAAACGCTCTCTTTTATCAACACGCACTTCGGGATCCTTATTATTACAACTAGTCACGCAGTATTAATTTGGCGCGTGATAAGCGTTCTAGGCATCGTAGGGATTAGATACGATAGGACGTTAGACTTACTAATTTTGCGTCACCCTGTATATCCACGTATTTTCTACTCCGGTATCCATTATTTCCAAGTTCTTCGCCTGTGACATACACAAGTATATGCACGTGCGAGGGAGCAAATCCTGTGAACAATTTACCGCTAGAAAGTCTAACAGCAAATCTGCCAAAGGCAAATCCAGGCCCCATTTCTGGTTGTCGTTAAGCGTCTCACTCTTAAAACGATAATTCGGGAAGTTGGGCTGGTAGTGTAGCTACCAATGGACTAGTTTAACGCGAGTAGCATCGTCTCCTTAATTGTTAGCATATTTTAACCGTAATTTTCCTCTGTTCCAGTTGTCTGAGCCCCAGGTCCGCGTTGTTCTACGAGTTCCCGCCTAACGGTAAGTCGCTCTGTTGCATGGAACCCGTAGGTTCATTTGTCACTGTTTAAGATTTAAAAGAGGCCTGGAGAAAAGTCCAAGTTCCGTAATTCTACGAGTGCCTTTCATTCGCGAGGTAGAAGCAGCACTCGTTGCCTCGGCTCCGAGGGCCGAGCAACCGGATAAGAATACCTATATTATCAACGGGGTACTCGTGTTCGTGTTACGTAAATTTAAGACGACCTCGTGGACCAGAGGACCGTCAGGCCGGAGGACGACTCAGGGGGAATAGAGAATTCAAGGACGGAAGGATGCGAAAACATTTCGAGTTTCTTCAAACTGTGATAATAACCGTAAATTTTTGGAAAGGCTTCTTTCGTTGTATTTCTTTTCATTTGAGGTGAGGTTTTTGGGGGAATTTTATGGGCGGTTACGTTTCTTGGAATCATTAGTGCAAAGCAGAAAGATACTGGAGAATAAGATGGTGCAATATTAATAGTTTTATGACAGTAAAGCCATTTTGAGTCATTTGAACTATTCTTTCATCCTAATTTTGAATATTACTATACTGTCAATTAACATTATCTCAATTTCGCAATATTGCATGATTTGGAATCGAAATTACTTGTTCCAGGCTTCTTATTTTCGCTGTTTTCGAAAATATCGAGCTCCTTGATTTTTATTTAAATAATTCGATGACTTTTGTTTAAATTTTTATTCATAAATTCTATTAGTTATTATTATCCACGTGTGTAGTATTTACATATGCATTGCAGGTCGTTGATTTTATTTGATATTAATATTGGTATTCAGTAAACATTTTTTAAATATATACTATATATACTATTTTACGAAAATGTAAACAGTTTTTCGTGAATTTTTTTCCAAACGTTGATTCATTTGTAAAAGCCAAAGTATAATTGGCATATAATATGTTAATATAATAGTATATAAGAAAATTGGGTTTGTGAGTTTTATTTTATATTTATCCGTGCATTGTGATTATTTTTGGATAAAGGAGAATGAATTGAATTAGAAAATTGTGTGAAAATAAAATATTTACATGAAAAATTAAAAAAAGGGAGATATAAAATACTTATGTAGGGTATTATATGCTATATACTCTACAATATATACTATAAATGGAAACTAAGATGAATATATCGAAAGGAATAATGTTTGTACCATCTTGTACAATATTTTAGTTCTTTCTTTGAGTTTAAGTGTAACGTGTGTGTTAATATCAATCTATGATAAGAGGAATTATTTTCGAAAACATGTGTACTGTGCATTTCATATGCATTCGAAATTCATGTATTAAAATTTTAACACACTGTATATCTAATCACACACGCACAGAAAAAGAAAAATAGTTTAATAACCATAATTTACAACGTTAAACATAAATTCACCTATTCAACGCTTATTCGATGTAGCAATTGCATGAAGTGAAAATAATCAATTAATATTAAACATTCTTCTGTTGGTGTATAAAGTATCAAAAATTGGCACACCATTCTAATTTTGGCATTGATCTATATATCAATGACTTCCAAAAATACTTGAAATACTAGTAATTATTTTTGTAGTTTGTTTTTAACATTTTTTACACTTATCAATTTGTTTAACATTAATTACATTTGACGTATGTATATTACTTTTATGTGTTCATGAAAATCCAAGAGTACCGTTCTGTAATTGCAAGTTATCAATAAAAATTAATAAAAATTAATGAAACTTATCTTGAACAATTTTGTATACGATTTATTTTTTATCTTTAAAAAAAAAAGAGAAACGATAGGGAGCATTAATTGTAATATTCTTTTCAATTACCAAAATATCGTAGTATTTGCTTAATTAACTCATTCACCTCAATTTTCAATACTATATAATAACTCGAAAAATCCAAATTATTTATTTATATTTATTCCGAAATTATTTATCTTAGAAACCAAAATGGGACACACAGTTTTAATATATCACACATACTATATACACAGATGCAAGCCTATTTATATATGATGGATCTCAAAACAGTCTGCTAAATACAGTATTTACAGTCACATTTTGCATTGTCATTTTATGATCTCAGTTTCTTAAACTAGGCAAACAAATTGAGAAATACAAATCCATACCACAACCCTGATCCGTATTTTCACCTTCACCAATTCTAACTATACCCCAAAATTCTTTCCCAAAACCTAAACTGTGGCACGTCAATCCCAAAAATCCACAACGGAACTTAACACATCTGGCGTGGGAAACGACTAAAGTCGTTGTGCACGTATTATCACATCTTTACTTACTTTACAAACTGTTCTTTATTTCCCTCTGGTCACCGGACACGAGGCATTCTTTAACCATTGATTCTAGAAAGCAGGCAACAGCACTTAGGATTTGGCTGACAATAGGTTTGCAAAAGAAAGGACCACGCCATGTGCGATGTCACGACGAATTGGAAAAAATCGTCGGCTACGCGGTGAGAGTTTGGCGTCAAAGCACTTGCGCAAGATGTGTTAGAACCATGTCTGTCAATTTTGCCCCACAAATCCTCAAATCCGAAGGCAATTACATCGTTCCTCGTTCCAAGTTTACCTCTCAATCTAGCCCGCAATGTTCTTCAGTCGAGCAACATAATTGGTATCGCATTATCAACGCAGTAGCATTGTAAAGCAAACAGTCAAGGATATCAGCGGCGCAATAAGTGGTCGCAGAGACTGAGCCGTGGTAGGGCGGATATTTGGTCCCTGAATGCAGTCCAGGGTTATTTAATGCGTTGACTGAGGCTCTGCACGGCGCATGTGTTCACTCGGGGCGGTATGGAGGCTTATTCCAAGAAGGAACGTTGCCCGTTCGTGCACGTCACTCGCAATGAAATATATCTAAATGGTGCAACAATGGGCTAGCGCGCTCACGATGGCGCCCGCCATCTTCTTTCGTGCTACCATCCACGGAGGCTGCATCGTTATGCGCGGGCTTCGCCACGCGCCTTTGAAATTCTCCGCTGCTGGATCGGTCCATTTTATGCGTGCAGCTGCCTTCGCGTATGCTCGCGTGTCTTTACCCTATACAACAATGATGTCCCGCATTTTACCCGCTCGCCGGCGATGCGGAATAGCGTTAGTCACGGGGTACGTGTTCATAAGCTTGCGCCAGAGTTGCGTGCGAGAGCAGACTCTTCGCAGGATCGTCCGAGTTCTTCGATTTCTCCGAGTTAGGCGATACGTGCCGGTCGGTTGTATGTCTCCTGTCACTTCGGTGTTACGTAATCCTGGAGAGACGAAGGGACGAATCGCGGATGAAATGCTGGTCACGGTGGGATAGGATCGGCTTCTCTGATGAAATTATGATTGGAGGATGAGGCTGGGCTTTTTGTTGTTAGATGCAACTGACTCGTCTGCAGATCGTATCGTATGGTGGCGTAAAGGTAGCAAATAAATTGGTGTATCAAGATTGGATATAGTTAGGAGATAATGAGCTTTATGAGACGTCGGAATGAATGTAGGATCGGTGTTAATTATCTGTATATTGGATCATGCAACGTTGCAGAGAAGGTGAGTACTCTGCGTGGCTGAAAAGAAGTCATCTGAGAAACTTGCAGGATCGAATCCTCACCAGTCCAATTATTTTCACATCCTGGCAGAAGTAGAGTAAAATGCTTCTCTTATTGGCAGAACTGATTTTGCGTGGCTGAAAAGAAGTCATCTGAGAAACTTGCAGGATCGAATCCTCACCAGTCCAATTATTCTCACATCCTGGTAGAAGTAGAGTAAAACGCTTCCCTTATTGGCAGAACTGATCCCTTCCTATTAGCCCGGTCATAGAACACCATGTGACAAGGAAAGCGAACGAAGCAACGAGACAAAGTGAGACAGACGGAACAAATAGATGCAAGAGCGTAGACTCATCCCAAAAGTATATTAACTTCAGATTCTTCTGACGAACACATGATTATTTGCAATTACTAATTACTAATTAGCATCTTGATTAACTTTTCATTGAATTATGCAGCAAACGTGATGTACTATACACATATTTTTTATATTTATGTTGTATCGTATGATTTTTTTAAACGGTTATCTAGTATGATGCAATTACATAATTAATTTATCATAAGAAATACATCTTAAATTTTAAATCAATTTTTATAAATGATGTTAATTATTATTACGTTTGTACTCCTTTACCTTATAAATCTTCGAGCTGGATGGGGTATGTCGAGATTGGATGGGGTATACAGGTCTGTTTATATTGATTAACCCTTTGACTGCCACACCGAAATCATGTTTCGCTCAGGACGGTATGGGAGTGCACCTCCAGATGCAAGACTTGTTCCAATATGTTTTTGATGTTCTAATAAAAATTTTTAATCGTTCAGTGGGGTACTTTTTATTTCAAAGTAGCTTCTAATTAGCGGTTATATTCAAAATGCACTAACTGTCAATTTTCATTCAATGTTGTTCATTGCAGTTCAAGTAGTTCAAGCGCTCCGGTCACCGATGACCATCGTGGCGTCACAGGAGAAACCGTGGCCGGTCATACATGACCAACGTGGCAGTCAAAGTGTTAATGGTTTTTCTAGCGAAGTGAAATACGATCTGTCGACGTATCATATCCCATTATTGTATGAAAAGTATAGATTTCAAGAAAATCAAAGACGAAGCCAGTCAATGACAAAATTTTATTTCGTATTTCTTATTAGCGTTCATCTATTCGCAAGTCCACGTCTAGATTCGGGATCGGTCGCAGACTTTAGGTTCCTATTACACGACTGCGTGTGTCGGTCTTTGCGCACTGATTGTGATACTAAATATTTTGCTTACGCGACATCGGTCAAAAGGAATACAATATTTTAAAGAAAACTTATTGTAATATATTAAAACAGGATAAACTGTTAATTTTCATTCAATGTAGTTCAATGTAGTTCAAGTAGTTCAAGCGCTCCGGTCACCAATGACCATCGTGGCGTCACAGGAGAAACCGTGGCCGGTCATATATGACCAACGTGGCAGTCAAAGTGT